TGCAGTTGTTAAGTTAGTAATACAATTGTTAAGTGAATCTGGTTTCCCCATTGACTTTGCTTGTCAGAAGGTCACTAAAAGTGGTCACATGTCCCTGGGACATTGCAACTGTCGTAAATATGAAACAATTCCCTAGCATCCAAATGTTGATTCTGTGACCATGGGAACGCTGCAATGATCGTTAGTGTGAAAAAAGGTCTTAAGTCAGTTTTTTCAGTGCCGTTGTAATTTTGAACGGTTACTAAACTAATTGCTTTAAGTCAAGGACTACCTGTACAGCCTACATGGCAAGCAAACAATGTACAATTGATTTTAGAAGCCAAATGTCGCTAGACGCAATACATCATCCAAAGATACGAGGAGAAGCATTTGCAAATTTATGTAGAATAGAAGGTGTATGATTGTGGTCTATTGACAGTAAATTTGGGAATAGTTCCTTTTTTTTTATTCTGACTACTTTTGATCTTGAAATGTGAGTGGAGATGACTAGGGTTTGCTAAATAGAATAGAACAGAACAGAATGGAATAGAAACGAAATGAAACCTCGTACAGTTTCGGGATAGATAGGCTCACCTTGGTTGCGTACGGCTTATGCGCGCTGGGCTCCCCCGCCTGGGGAATATCAGCATTGCAGGATATCGGAGAGCTGGGTTGGTAGCACCCCCTCTCTCACACATACACCCCGCCCCCTGCTCCCATCGTATTTTTTTAAAAAGGTAATATTTTGGGTAATACTTTGGATCTTGTTTTCTGGGCAGTTTGTCGAAACCCGGCTGGAAGTCGACATGTTGGAACGCCACACCGTAACCGTGAAACCTGGATCCCTTCACATGTTACTTAGGCTCAAACTAGGACTTAGAATAGAATAGAATCACAGAGTTGGAAAGGACCTGGGAGGTCTTCTAGTCCAACCCCCTGCCTAGGCAGGAAACCCTACACCACTACAAACAAATGGTTATCCAACATCATCTTTAAACATCTTTAAACAGTTTAAACATATGAAGAACTTCTTCAAGGCTCCAGTCATGAAGGAATCTCCTGACTTTCTCTTGTGGCTGGCCAACCAAAAATGCTTCCCGCTGAGTCTATGGGTGACTGTCTGAGGGTAGTGATGGTGAATAAACATCCGACAGCATCTCTTTCCTGTCTTTCTTACTTCGTGCTTGTTCTGGCATGGTCCAAGCCATCTCTTCAGGGCAAAGCAGTGCTCATCCTCTAAACAGCCTTTTCTTCCAGATTCTAGGAGGTGAAAATTGGTTTAGCATAATTGTTGTCTTACCTAGAATATGTCTGTTTTCTAGGTAAGGTTGGCCGAGAGCTACGACTTGATTGGAAGCAAAAAGTTGCTGTTAAAACTAATGTTTATTTAATGTATATATCACCCAGGAACTCAAGCTTTGTCCTAACTGATAATAAACAAAACAGAACAGAACAGAATAACAGCATTGGAAGAGGTCTTCTAGTCCAACTCTCTGCTCAGGCAGGAAACTCTATACCACTTCAGACAAATGGTTACCCAACATCGTCTTACAAACTTCCAGTGTTGGGGCATTCACAACTTCTGGAGGCAAGCTGTTCCACTGATTAATTGTTCTGTCAGGAAATTTCTTTTTAGTTCTATTTTATTGGCAACATGGGTTCTTGAAATAAAGATTTGTTGGAAAAATACTTCAATTAAAAAAAAAACCTAATCTTCTTGACACTGGAACAAGTAATTTCTTGTAAGCCCGAGTGAATTATTTTGCAATTTTTTTGCTGTAATGTTTGTTACCAGGATATTGAGAAAGTTAAACCGTTATTGTGTTCTCTTTACACACACATCCCTGTTCATTTTTTCAATTATGTCCTCCTTTACTTGTACAACATCTGGCAATGCTAGGCACAAGGATGCTCCCTTGATCTTTGATCCTGTCATACAAGAAATATTGTGAAGTGCTATCCTCAAAGACCACTCAGAAGTTTCCAGAATAGAACAGGGTGGACCCTGGTAGGCATAGTACGTTATCTTCAGGTCCTTCCACTCCTCTGCAAACTGCATTGATTGCCCTTTTGTGTACAATTCAAGGTGCTGGTTAACAACCAAGAAGTTGTTTGTGTTTGTCATGCAGCCTAGTCATCAGAGAGAAAGCCTATCTCCAATAGTTTCTGCTTGTCCTACACAATTTATGCTCCAAGTCCTTTATCAGAAAGTAGGCCTTTTCTGTTGAAGCGGCTCCCCTCTGGAACAGTATCTCCAGAGAGACTCTCCAGGGCTCCGACCATAACCAAGTCCTTGGTTTCCTGAAAGTGAGAACAATTAATCAGTGGAACAACTTGCCTCCAGAAGTTGTGAATTTTCCAACACTGGAAGTTTTAAAGAAGATGTTGGATAACTGTTTGTCTGAAATGGTGTAGGGTTTCCTGCCTAAGCAGGGGGTTAGACTAGAAGACCTCCAAGGTCCCTTCCAACTCTTCTATTGTATTCTATTCTATGTCCTACTTTGAGCCTAAGTAGCATGTGAAGGGCTCCAGGTTTCAGGGTTACGGTGTGGCGTTCCAACGTGTCGACTTCCAGCGTGGTTTCGACAAATTGCCCGGAAAACAAGATCCAAAGTCTTACCCAAAGTATTACCTTTAAAAAAAAAAAATATGATGGGAGCGAGGGCGGCTACCAACCCAGCTCTCCGATATCCTGCAGCGCTGACCTTCCCCAGGCGGGGGAGCCCAGCGCGCATAAGCCGGACGCAACCACCGCGGGAAGAGAAAGGTGGCTCTCTCCGTCCCGAAACTGGGAAATGGAACAATCCAAGCAGGGTCCCTCCCACTCCCCAGCGAACCCGGAAGTGGCGCCCGCAGGCGGGAGCGGCCTGCAGGAGCCGGTTCTTGCAGCTAAATGGGGGCGTTGAGTGGGGCTGGAGCGATGGGAGCGGCTGTGGCGGCCTTTTACGTGACAGCTGCCCCCCACTCCGCGCTCGGGGGAGACTCTGGTAAAGTATCAAGATCCGGCCTCATGTCCTGCCTGATTTTTTTCCCCCCGCGGATATTCCCCGCCCCTAAGTTATACTGCATGCTTTTTTTGCATATTCTAATTTATGGTAATCATTCAACCCATTGGTTGGAAACCCAAATCGGCTTTTGTTGTGCATCTGTTCTAGCATTGAGGTGCCTTGATTTTTTTTTTAAAAAAACCACAGCATTAGACTTATTAAAAAAAAAATGACTTTTGTGGCAGAATTTTAATCCTTTGGGGTACAGTGGATCCCATGTTGTAGATTGGTTACAACCTGAAAATTCAGTTCTCCCTTCTGTCGGATAATCTGCATGTCAAGCTTTTTTTTACGACGGTCAAATGAAAATGTGGTCCTGCATGCATTTGATAACTGTCCAAATTTAATTGCTTTGGGCAGATAACTTGGAGTTATATGAGTAAAATGGGAGGGGGGGAAGTATATTAAAAAATTTAAATTTCAGCATGTCAAATTTGTGGTGAACTGTTCCTATAGTCGTAGGTGGCATCCATCATTAGATTTATATTTGTGCCACCTAATGTTTCTGGGACACTATAATAAAATACCAGAAAAGACTGTTTATTTACTGCATGCAGATTTCACCGATGTGATACAAAAGGAAATTCTTTTATTTTTCCTCTTAAACACCTATGCACAGGGTGCTGTTTTTTCTCTGATGGAGATACCGATGTTTTAAACTCACAGAGCCAAAATATGATTCCGCTGTTTACCCCCTACACACAAAATGTAGTGCACATGCCATCATCTGGAATGCACCCAAAACATTTTTTTTCTTATTGGGGAGTATGCAAAAATGTTGATTGATATTTGCAGTTCAATCATTCTGTGACATCTATGGACTATCTTAATGAATAATAATAATACTCGCATGGCAAGATTATAGTGGAAAAACCTTCCAGTGTGAGCCAATCTAATGCAAATAAGATGAAGCAGTGGTGGTATTATTAAATAGTTGTGTGTGATGATTAGAATGATGCTTGACTGGCATACTTCTGAAAATGCTCTGGGTGAGAGAGTGCAATTTGCTTATAATATGATAGTGATTTTCCCAGAATAGTTGAGGAGAGATTAAGGTGTTTCTCTAGGATTGGAGAGACATGGGTTCAAGTCTGTTCTTAGTTCTGGAAGTTGTCTGGTTGACTTTAGGGTGTTTGCTTCGTTTTAGCCTAACTGACCCTAACCTTAGCCACAGAACCTTGGGGGTGGTGGTGGAGGAGGAAGGAATGTTACATCTGACATATTGAGAGCCATATTGAGAAACGTTAGGATATAATTCAAGGAAGAGAGGGAGGAAGGAAGGAAGGAAGGAAATCTCTTCTCATAGTTTGATTTCTGCACCATTCACCATCTACACCATTCACCATCGTCCTTTCCTTGTTGTCTTTTAAAAGAGCTGGAATCCAATTTAAGCAACCATGAAGGATGAGAACATCCAGAGAGCTTTTTATAGCAGGCTATATGTCCAATCAAGGAAGCTAACTCAGACAAAATAATTAAAAAGCAGCAGAATAACATCAACAAAATCAAAAATCAATTCATCCATTGTTCAGAAATATAAAAACAGATTTAAAAGTATTATTTTAAATACTTTAAAAGAGAAGCAATGCAAACATTGGAAACTCCAGCAAAGTTCTAAATAGCAGCACCAATTTAAACGGATTTTTTTTAAAAATAGCATATTCAGGATTAATGACATTTTCCAGAATTATGGGAATAGATATTAAGTGGTGCAGCAGTTGGAATTAATTTTTTCTTTCACATAGCATCCTCCAGATATGCTCCGGAATTTTCCCGTAATTTTCTGGTATGCTTTTGGAGGGTGTACAAGCTGCTGTAGAGAGGGAGAAAGCCCTTTTCCATTAGCAGCATCTGTTTTGTTCATGGCTACGGACATGCGGAGTGTTAAATATAATCTTATGAGTAAATCTGTATCGAACATGAAAAGGAATATGACTCAGGAAATGCTCTGTGGAGCTTTGACAGTTTTAAGCTAGGGACAGGCAAGCTGCTATGCTCCAGATATTTTGGACACAAATCCCATAATCTCTAACCAGCATGACCAATGGTCGGGGGGGGAATGGATATGTGTCCTCCAGATCTTTTTGTTTATATGCCCTATATATCCCCATGTATTTGAAGGTGTCTTCTCTTTGAAAAGCTGTCCAATCAACACCCATAAACAAGAGTTGGAATCTTGGCTGTTGTCTCTTAATTTGCAAGCAGGATGTGCAGCAAAACATACAGGTTACTTATAAGTAGGCTATCTTTTTTGTTACAGCATTGATAATAATGATGATAACAACAATAATAATGATAATGTACCTGTACCAAGGCACAGTACAAAATAAGCAACCCCTCCCCAAATAATGACAAATTGCTCCAACAAGATTTGCTTAGAACTCAGTAAACAAATATTATTGTTCTAGCAGTATACTTAAAACAGTTGTTTAGGATAAGACTAAATGTTAGACATCCATAGTTATTTAAAATGGGTGTTAGTCTGAACCTAGAAGTGAAATAAGAGTAAGTTAGAACAACCTGTATGAATCTGATAATCAAATAAAAAAAGGTATTTACTTCTCTATTAAAGGCCATCAGATTTCCCCAAAGAGACAGGGAGTGGATCCAAGTTTTATGGGGCCAGATCCTTCAAGAAATTTAAGATATGCACTTGTACATATGAATCAATGTGCAAATTCTATGCAAATTGAAATCTTTTCTGTCCCTCTTCCCTTTTACTTAACAGTGTAGAAATAGCACTGCCTTTTGATTCTTCCCCTGAGCCAATGAAGTAGATTATGATGTTTTGGCTGTGTGTGAGGAGTTAATGATTGATTGTACCAATCCTGCATAGCAGTAAAGACCAAAATAATCCTAATAGAGAAAACTCCTGAAGAACCGTGTTGACAGGTTCCTTTAACAACAGTACAGATCTGTCTAGAAAAGGGGAAGAAGGGCTTGGAGAGAGTGTAGTTGCTGTCTAGTTTATACTCCCTCCCCCCCCCGCCCATAACTGAAATATTAACTGCACGGAAATTTTTTTGATGTGTCGTGGGCCATTAGATACTAGATGAATTATCAGGCAGGTTGTGAAAGGACATTGGCATTTAATTGGCACAATTGGAAGGCATTTGACACACATCTCAAAGCCTCCTTTAGATCCAGAGAGGATAATACATAGCAAAGAATTGGGGTTTGGCTAGTATCATAAAGATAGCAGTTTAACCTTGATTATATAGGAAGTGAGAAGACTGCATAGCACAGCAAGCAATTTTATGCAATATGACCCAACTGCTATAGCCTTCTAAATTCTTACAAAATTATTGTAGGGGGCTGGACTAGAAGACCTCCAAAGACCTCCCTTCTGACACTATTCTTCTATGTTCTACATGCTATTACTTCTAATGCTACCACAGGACCTGCCTGCATTAGCACTTTCTTCCTGCTCATATTTTATCTGTGACGGAATATTTTATCTGTTATGAATTTCTGACATTCTTCGATAGATAATTCTTATCAGAAGTTCTTGGATTTTATGTTAGCTTGCCTGAATAGTTTATAAAAATAGTTAATGTAGCTGCCCTAAACAGTTGCCTGTAGGTTGAAACCTGATCCCTAATCTCTAAAATATTTTTCTATACAAGAAAACTTCTGGGCTCTGTGTAGGCTACGCACGATTTTACACAATTAAAATGGAATATGTATACAGAGTTGCACTAGTAGTTTTTCTTCTTTTCTTTGGAAAAATACTTAGCTCCCCCAGAAATTTTTGAAGCGGGGGGGGGGGGGAGATTGGGACAGAAAAAAAAACCTTCATTAATTTGCCTTCTGGGTATTTTGCAGCAGGTCCCACTCTCAGTGATGATATCAGCATGATATTGATATGATACAATTTCATATTCCCTTTAAACATTTCTGTGCTTTTGAACCAATTTGATTTTAAATATATATGTTTTATAGCCAGTGCTTTACTTTGCATTGCAATTTACTTATTTCTCCTGCATTTTTATTATGCTTCTTATAGGTTGCTTCGAGTTCATTTAAAGAAGAGATGGAAGTAAAGAAATAGATCAAACAAAAATAAGATATCTTTGAAAGTTGGACATCTGCCATGGCATGAACTTGTTAAGTAGCATTAGGCATAACACCCCACTCCTGCCTTCAGCTTCAGAGCTGTAGCTCTCCCAGTAGGATTCATTTAGTGGGGTTGATGCAACATGATTTGCTCTGCAAAGGGTTGGGGGGTGTTATTCACCTGAAGCTTGGTCTCTAAGATGGCTTCTAGAGTACCTGGAAACCACTTGGATTGGAAGGGAGGTTGTTGCACCTTCCCTTCTTTGCAATTTTTCTCAATTCAAAACCTCATTGAAGTGAAGGGCCCTTTTGAATCTCCCAGAAGTATGGGACTTCTGAGAAGGAAATGGTAAACTGAAGATGATTCCACAAAAAGTGGGTCTGATGACCTCAATGGAATGAAAAATGTCTCTTTAATAATTCCTCCCTGGACAAGGAGAGGGCTTGAGATAGCCCACAAATGCTCCATGCAGTTGCTTCTTGTAAGGAGATCTCAAGGCAGAAGTCTCTAACAGGTTCAGCGCTCTGGAAGATGAGGGAATAACCACCCTGATCAAACTTGGTCAAAAGGTAGTCATTGCCTTTGAAAAGACACTAAGTTCTCAACTTTCTTTTCTAATTGGTTTTGAAAATGGATTAACAAGTTTTATAGCATCAGTTGAGTTTCCTTCAATCCTTCTTAACAAAAGGAATATTAATTACAAGTTTAAGAATGTTAGACTTTTTTTTAAAAAAAATGAGATTTTGGAATTCATTATAAAGAATCATTCCTGTAGGAAAATATTTTTTGAATTTTTCTTTTAAAAAACACAAATAGATAAAGACTTTAAAAATGGGACACTAGAGGTAACTTGAAGGAACTAAAGATTAAATTAAAGAAGAACATTTAAACTTAATTTATAATTACAAAAGGAAACAAAACATTTTAACATTGGACAAATTGAAGGATATTTTTGAATAATGGTTCCAGAAGTTAGTGCATGCCTTTGTAGCTAGACTGTGCCTAAAACATTATGGAAGAGGAACAAGTTCTATCTGACCCAAATGAGACTGAGTTGAAAGGTGATTTAAAAATAACAGTCTAAAAGAATCACGTGGAAAAAGATGTTATTTGGACATGCAAAAGAAACTGGCTGATGTCTTAGTAATAAAAACGAATATACAAACAACAAACCAAGAGTCTGAGTTGGGTAATTTTTGTACATTGGATTCACAAAAGAAACTTGTTAAAATTTCAAAGAATTTTGTGAGAAGGAACAAAGAATATTTAGTGTCAAGTAATAGCAGTTAGACTTATATACCGCTTCATAGGGCTTTCAGCCCTCTCTAAGCGGTTTACAGAGTCAGCATATCGCCCCCATAGTCTGGGTCCTCATTTTACCCACCTCGGAAGGATGGAAGGCTGAGTCAACCCTGAGCCGGTGAGATTTGAACCGCTGAACTGCTGAACTAGCAGTCAGCTGAAGTGGCCTGCAGTACTGCACTCTACCCACTGCGCCACCTCGGCTCACTAAAGATCAAGACTGTTAGAAATAAAAGGAAGGAATATAAAGCAGGCTTATTTGATCAAATAAACCAACTTGGCTAAAATGCATATATTGTTATCTCTGGTAATCCTTAATGGACTTTTGCTGGCATCAGGACTGAAATGATGAAGTTTTATGCATTTGTTTCAGAGGTGGGTTGCTCCTGGTTCGGCCCATGTGCAGAAGCGTTGTGTGTGAGCACGTGCGCGAGTGCACCTGAACTGGTAGTAAAAAAATTGGCAACCCACCACTGATTTGTTTATGGATAAAGGATGGGGTGTAGGAAAAATAAATCACATGTTGCATTTTAAGAAACTGATAAATACTAAAATTATTTGCACTTGAGGATGGGAAGTTATTTCGTTATATCTCTCTTTTTCTTTACTTTTTTCTTTTCTATTTCTTTTTCATTTTTCCTCCCCCCCCCCCTACCTTTTTCTTTTTCTTCTTTTTTTAGTATTGGTTTTATTGTTGTAATGAATTTTTTTGATAAAATTACTATAAAAAAATATCTCCCAGCAGTATGACTAATATGTCTTTATATAAGTATGTTGTGATTAGTGCCTGTTCAAATATAGGTAGTATTTGCTTAGCGACTTCAATTGGGATCATTAATTCTATTGTTAAGCAAGTGATGTAGTCACTAAGGGAAATATCACGTGTCTGACATACTTAACAACATCACTATGGATTTGGTTGTTCAATAAGTTATTCTTCATCAAAACATTAGGTGACCATAACTCATAGTTGTAATCCTGGCTTCTTCATTCTGGTTGTTTGAAGCTGGTTGGAAGTCTATAAATGACAACCACAGGGCCTTGGGGTCAGAGGTTGCTCCCAGTTCAGTCTGGATCGGGCGAACCGGTAGTACCGGCATGGGAGCACGCCTGAACCGGTAGTAAAAAAAGTGGCAACCCACCTCTGCTTGAGATGCTGCAAAGATCATAAATGTCTGCTGATTGCAAAACTGTGACTCCCATCTTTTGGAATATTCTTCACCCTCATAGCCTTTTGAAAGGGCCTGAAATCTTGGCTTTGTCAACTGGGTTGTGGCCCTGAAGGAGACATCCCATTTTGGAGATGGCTAGTAGTCTAGTACATGATCTCACTTTCACTCGGTCTATATAGTGGCTTTTTATCCATTTTAATATTAATTTTTAATGTTTTAACTTTTAATATTTAATGTTTTATAATTGTTTTATTCTACTATTTATGGTTATTGTAAACTTCCTTGAGCTGCTTGGCAGAGAGATGGGCAGCATATACAAGTCTTGATCACATGGCCATGGGGATGTTGCAACAGTCATAGGTGTGAGAACTGGATTTTTTCAATGCTGTCATAAATTCAGATAGTCACAAAACAAGGAAATTGTTAAACAAGGTCTACTTGTAATGCAATATTCAACTTAGTGTGATTGTAAATTATACCAAGTTGCATTTAATCCAAGCCAAAATTCACTTAATTCAATACTAATGTATGCACAAAATAGCACACTGTACACTGTTTAAAAATTGTTATTAAAGGTAAAGGTTCCCCCACACATGCATGCTAGTCATTTCTGGCTCTAGGAGTGGTGCACATCTCTGTTTCTAAGCTGAAGAGCCAGCGCTGTTCAAAGATGTCTCTGTGGTCATGTGGCCGGCATGATTAAATGCTGAAGGCGCACGGAGTGCTGTTACCTTCCCACCAAAGGTGGTTCCTATTTTTCTACTTGCATTTTTACATGCTTTCGAATGAACTGCTAGGTTGGCAAAACTGGGACAAGTAACAGGAGCTCACTCCACTATGCAGTGCTAGGGATTTGAACCGCTGAATTGCCAACCTTCTGATTGACAAGCTCAGTGTCTTAGCCACTGAGCCACCGTGTTACTTTAAAATTGTTATTACATTTAACCAAAAAATTGATGTAATTGAACTATATGATTGTGATCATAGCAATGCTAAAATAGGACAAGATGCTGGAAAGCCAGAATCTATAGTAGAATTTATTTTTGCTTTCTATAACTATTCTATGACTTTGTTAATCATACATTTAAATTTTATATCTATCTTTGTATAGAATAGAATAGAATAGAATAGAATAGAATTATTGGGCAAGTGTGATTGGACACACAAGGAATTTGTGTCTAGTGCATAAACTCTCAGTGTACGTGCAAAACAAAAAAGAATAATAATCATAATAACAAAGGATAATCATAATAATGATACTAATAGAGAAGGTAGTGAAACAGATGAGAAGAATAAAACTGTGGAAAAAGAACTGTTTATTGTAACATTTCGTTAGCATACATATAAAAGTTTAGGTTAAAAAATTTTCAGTGCCCATTTCCATTGAGCTGAAACCAGTTATCACATTTTCCATAAAAAGATCATCTCAAATAGCACAAATTCAAATAATGTGACCAGTTTGTAGAATTCATGAACTGTATTAATTGAGAACTACCTGTACAATCATAAACATTTCAAAAATTATCCATGAATCTTTGGATTCAGTCCTTAAGAATCCAAAGAATCCAAAGAATCAACAAGAATCTTGTTGTTTCATATGAAAACATCAACATTTGAAGGAAAATCTGATACAGTATTTTGGTTAGGTTTTTCTTTTTTAAAAAAAAAAATCACATCAAATCCCCCCCCCCCCCGGGAAGTTCTTTGTATAACCAAATTTACCTTGGGCTGTCTGACATATATAATGTTTTGAAGGTGCAGCATGCTGAGGAGGATATTAATGAAGCTGAACTGTAACACAATTGCATTTCCCCCCCCCCTTTAAAATAAAATGATCAGTGGAAAATTCCGTAGGGGTGGCTGATGGGTAAAAAACTCCTAAAAGCTAGGGAAATTGTAACTCAGTATAAAATTTGCAAGGTGCTTGGGGAATAAACCTATATCCTTATTAGGATAATTGTCCTCCAAAATAGAAGTCCTCACTGATTGAAAAAGAACAGTATCAAAGAATCCATAACACAAAGTCGGAGGCTGAGCTGTGAAATCAAATTCTCTCGGTTATTTTGCCTTTTTCACGTGGCCTCTGCCCTTACGTTAAATTGCTCCAAACTTTAAAGAACGATGTTGGTGTTTTTGTTGTTGTTATTCATTCTTCCTAGCTACAACTCACCTTCACTTTTCTGCTGGTAGGAGAGTCAAGAAAATATGACAAAAGAATACTTTGTGCATTGACATCAGAGGGGAAAGAAAATACTCATGGAAAATTTCATGCTGCTAAATCTCCACAGATTTACACTTTTATGCAGTCAAATTAATGCAAAACCCCCAACGTAAGGGTTTGCATTTTGAAAATTTGGGAGGAGTGTCATTCCATAATAGTAATTATTGGTTTTATATTATTTTTTCACAGGGGAACTGATCACAGCTGCCTATGAGCTTGGAGTGAGTATTAGTTGTATTGTTTAATCAATGCTCTCATTAACAGTTTTAGGAATTAAGGAAGTTTAATTAAGCATGGAGTTAAAGTAGATTAATATATTTTCAAACCACAGTTTTTCTAACTTATAAGTACGGCACACGACAATTTACTCCCAAGTTTTAAATCCAATTAAACTAAATTATAAAGTAAAGGCTTTACTGTATATACAGTAGCTGGCTTATTATCAATCCAAATTTTGTATAAGCTGGAGAGAATAAAAATAAATCGGGTTAACAATTTTAATAAGTTTTATTATTCAATAAACTTTATTAAGGCGCATGATCCCCTTTAGGCAAAACCTTAAGGACTGTCATCACGGTGGTAATCCGATAGCAGTGTGGTCTTTCAACTTGCTAACCAATAAAATAGTTCAGCATCTGTTTTCTCCCTCTTTTCTCTCTTTTATAATTGTATAATAAAAAGAAACCCAGCCTTTTGAATGGCCGGAATACATGCTGAATCTAGACTTCAAGCCATTTAAGGGATAATAGTAATACGTGTCACCACTTTTTAAAGTGATCTCTCATCTATATTTTGTGCATCCACATATGTTAAGGCAAACATTTTGCTGTATTTAAAATTAGCACTTAACAGAAGAGAGAGAGAGTGAGTGTGTGTGTGAGAGAGAGAGAGGGAGAGAAAGAGAAGCTTTTTAAGGCATAGTACTCTATCTGTTTGTGATTAAGCTAATAAGAAAGCCGTTTCTCCATTCGATTGCCATTGTGACCATCTCAAAACAGAAGCCTTTTGTTTGTTCACAGGTTGCTCATCCTCCTGGCTACCCCCTCTTCACTCTTTTGGCTAAACTGGCCATTGAGCTTTTTCCCTTTGGTTCTGCTGCGTATCGTGTCAATCTCCTCTGCGCCTTGTTGGGGGCAGCTGCAGCATCGCTTCTGTTTTATACAGTTGTCAGGTACAGTAGATCCTATGGGTGCGCTCCAATTTTATTTACACACACACAAACACACACACACACACACACTACTGAATTGCAGACTGCATCATATGCAATATATTTGTTGAACCATCCTTATGTTAAATAAAACCTATCGAGTGAAATATCTTCATGGCATACCAGAAAGGATATTTTTCTGTGATATAATATTGCAGTTGGATGTAAAAGTTGATAATAATTTGATGGCTTTCACATCTAGTGGGCCATTAAACTAGCAGTTCCTACGGCGTTGGCTCCAGACTGTTAATTGATTCAACTGCCTACTGTTTACATAATTTCAGTTGGCCATTTGACATTGAACTCATCGGGGAAAAAAGAAAAAGAAAAAAAAATTACGAAACACCCAGAGCACAAAACTGCCAAACTAATTTATTTCAGGAGAGTGATAACATTGTTCTCTCTTATTATCATACATCAGTGACCAGGTTTATCTAACCAGAAGTAACAAAGTTTGTCATTAAAAGAAAGATGCAGATGGCTTTAAAATATTAAACAATACAAGTGTCAACTGTACTGACAAACTTTTTAATTGTTAGCATTACAAAATGGAGGCAGATGCCTCTTGATGGTCTTTATCCTGTCTGTTTTACCTGTGTTGAGTACAGTCAGCAAGAAGTGGCTCTGACTGAACTGCACAGAATTAAATTAAAGTATGAGAATTGTGGTGCGAAAAACGCCCCCACAGATTACGAATATGTAGCTGTGTGAGTAGGATTGTTGGACATTGTCAACAAAATCTGCCTTTTTCTACATTGGATGATGTATTCTAAGCATACAAAAACAAGAACATAACGAATGACTGGTACTTCGTTACTTTTGCCCATCCTTCTGTCTTCCAATCCTCACATGAGGAGGTTTCTTTGCATACTATTATAATTCCTGATAAGGATAGCTTTCTCCAGATTTTGAAGGCCTCTCTTATGCTCCTTTCATTTGTATTTTGCACACGCAAGATATGATTCTCTAGGCGTTAATTCAGCAGAGCAGATGCAGGCGTGACTTTTCCCCTTATAGTTGGGGATGATCTGTGGCATATATACCAGACAAAATTGAAGTTATTCAAGTGGAGCTCAGATGCCTGGTGACTTTGTGGTTATAGTGACATGTCTTCCAGGTAGATTTGGCTCCCGGGGGTAACGTGGATAAGTCCATGCACTTTTCTAGACATCCTTTTTGAAAGTGATTTGCCACTGTTGTCTTTTTGGGTCTGAAAACGTGTGAGTGCCCCTTCATCATCTAGTTGGCTTTGTGACTAAGGTGGGACTAGAACTCAAATTTCCTTTCTCCTAGTCCAGTGCCTATAAGCCTTACCCACTGATGCAAACTAGCTCTCTGACTACATGGACACATCTGTGTAAGATTTTTTTTGGGGGGGGTAACAATAGAAACCTGGATTGCTTAGTGATCTGCTATATAAATACTAACTGAGTCCAGCCCTATTTAGCTTTAGATTTACATAAAATTTGTTTGGGTCCACCTAGATGGAATATTTCACAGTGAAATATCTTTCTTTCTTTTAGTAAATTTAGCAGCTGCTTGACTCCCAAATAACACTGAGTGGCTTATGTTATCAATCTGTAAGTAATAATACTGTAGTACTGAAATGTTCGCAGGCTTCAACTGCATTGCCTGGCTGTGAATTGCATAACAGCCTTGCAACTACAGTTGTGCCAGTATGCCCCTTATTTCAAATGGGGAAACTGAGGCTGGGAGAGACAGCCTTGCCTAAGTTACCCTACTGAATTCTTTGGGAGATGATACTCAAATGGAGGACTATATGACTTTCTGTGTGCATTCTGGGACCATATGGATAAACCGAGTCATAGTAATCCTGGCTGTCAAAATGTGATCTTTCTTCTCAGTTGATCATGGATTGGTTAGGAAAGGCAGATAAAACTGAACCCGTGTACAAATGTTGGGGATTCTTATGCAAACCCCAAGTTAGAGGGATTGTCATGTAAGAGAAGCAGCTTCTATTCCTTTGTGAAAAGCATGTTTTATTTGATATAGTGAACATTTTAGAACATTTAGATAGTATATTAATGACGAGGGCAGAGCCCTTCTATATTTAGGTTACCCCAACATTCTACTCCTAATCACTTTAACTTGTCCCTTATTTAATGGAGAACTGGATAGTTTTGCAGACATTAAAGATTATTACCACATAAAAATATTCTGAAAGCATTCAAAATACATGAAGCTCGATCGCTTCCACATCCTCCCCCTACTCTGTAATGTTGGAGAATATTTACTTTTATATAAATACATTGGTCTTAATTAAGGGATTGCAGAAACCTCTTGGGCAGACTTTCTAATCTTATTTAGAAAATACAGTTAATCGTTGCAATAATCCCATTTTATGGGTTGGGAACTGAGGCTGACAGATACTGCATTGCCCAAGGCCAGTCTGTAAAAAAAAATGTTCTTGGCCAATTAATGTCCAAGCATTGACGCTGTCAATGCTCCACACGCCAACACACCGGGTCACCCTGGCTGTTATGATAGGTTTCTGTACTTTTATGAAAAGATGAAAATAATGCCCCAACAATGCCTGGGAATATTTTGAGAGGAGTCAGATTTCTCAATTATTAGGAGGAAAAAATATGTATAATAATTAAAATCCTATGGTGCATAAGAGGTAGCCTGGAATTTCTCAGGAAGGTGAATGCCACCTCTAAGTAGAGGGATGGGAAGAGTTAGCAGTCTTTGAATGTTCCTTATTACACACACGTCCTTTTCGGTTGAATAAGGATTAGCATCTCGTGTAATGTTAATTTGAAATCCAAACCTGTCCTGTACTTTGCCAAGCACTCTTGCGATCTTTGTTAAAATTAATGCAGGACGATCGGGGAAGAATGCTCAGTGGATGGTTTTCTGATTTTCTTTCCTTGGCTGGGTTAAATGCTTTCCATACTGCCTGCCTGCAGGGAGAACTCTCTTCAGTCCCTTATTTGCTTAAGTACACTTCCTTAAGATTTTATGAATAGGACTTCCCCTATCAGATAATTCATCCTTAACTAATTTTTCAGTTGTACTGTAGTGCAAAGAAAGAGGGTTAAAAATTATAAAAGGCCCCAAAGCTTTTGAAGGAAAATATTTAAAGCAGAAACTCTCAAGGCAACGATGCTTTTTGTCAGTTAGTAACAGCATTGAGCATATATGTTAGAGGAGAATAAATAACGGCTCACATTCCATTAGTGGGCGTGATGATGGAGAAATCGCATTGAACTCATTTAAATTAATCTTTAATGCATTCCAACTAATACTGCTCCTTGAAGCGATCCACCTTCGTCCTTCACCTTTTTTAAGTTCACAGGCTGAAACCTTGCAAAGGAATGGCATTGGAAGCGGGTAATTTTTGTTGCATTTCAGTTGGTTTGTGGGAGGTCAAGAAATGGGCAAATAAATTGGGGGGAGTGTTTAAAAATAATGCCATTAATATTTAGTTATACCTGCATCATGAATGCAAAGCTGTACAAAACTGGAGGCATACTTTAAAGTTGGAAGAAAATGCTAGTTTCCTTCCTTCCTTCCTTCCTTCCTTCCTTCCTTCCTTCCTTCCTTCCTTCCTTCCTTCCTTCCTTCCTCCCTCCCTCCCTCCCTCCCTCCCTCCCTCCCTCCCTCCCTCCCACCCACCAATTAAAAAGATAGGTTAATAGGTATGCATCTACTGAATTTCTGGGAGAGTTTAGACTTGCTGATTAGGGGGTGGCACCATTTCCTGGCTGATTTTGTATGTTTGTGTCTGAGTGAGAGAGAGGGAGGGGAGGGGGGGAGAGCGTGAGTGTGTGTGGGGGGGGGGTGAAGGGAGGTGGGGGTGAAGAGAGAGAGAGAGACTTTAAAACCTTCAGAACTAAATATTTGTGCATGCATTTTTGATTTTGTGGCCTGGAAATATTCCCTTCCAGCAATGTTTGCTGGATGTACTGTGAGTTTCAATGGTTTATAGATCATGCCAACTCTGTGTGCTGCTGCAAAGGAATTTGCATTAACACTATAGATGCTTAAATATTGCTAATATATTTTCAGATTTGGTTGTCAAATCTGCCTTGAGATGGCAGCTGCTGTTTGCACGCACATTGCGATAATCTCTTCTTAAATAAATAAAAATTCAAAGGACCTTCAGGTTCCTTTGGAATGGCTCAACCAGTTTGTTTTCTGCGTCTGAAGAGTTGCTTCTTTTCCTCTCTACTTTAATGGTTTAGACAGATCATTTTAACTGGAAAAAATTCACTGGGGTCTAAATATCCTGGGGCAAATTTATAGACCTCAGACATTCCTAACCTTTACATGAGGTAAATCCCCCCAAAAAGACTTGAAAGGGTTCCCCCCCCCCCATTGGGGAGGTAGGTGGGATGATTAAAAAAAACCCCTGTCCATTTTGTATCCCGATAGATGCTGTGAATACGGATGGTCTCTCATTTTTTTTTAAAGATGATAAATAATAAAGGATGCATCCTTCAGGAACAATGCAGTTCAAGTGGGAAATCTGTTGTCTCATCAAACAATACAACCCCCTTCAGAAAGGAACAAGCCATCTCTATGGCAATTTGTGGAGAGAGTGGCCTATTGATTCAGGGGAAGAAGACATTATACAGTGTCACTCGGGGTTGTTACAATTTCATTTGTCGGGTGACCTGAACTTAACCTTCTAAAAACCTTTTCTTCTTTGTACATAACACCGTCCTCTCGTGGGTTTTCTGCACCAACAGTGGAGTACAGTGAGGAATTACAGCTGGGCTTGTTGTGGGTTTTGTTTCTTAAACAAACCGCCCCGTACACGGGTTTTTCTTCATTTATACGCTATGTAAATCAGTTCTTGTAATAGATTTTGTTCCTTTTATTGGCATCTGCTCTGAGACATCTCTTTAAGTTTCATGTTGTTTGCAGATCACGATAGTTTCATTTTAATGTTTAATTGGGCGACACTCTTGTAGTTTAATTCATTCCCGCTTAGG